CAAAAGTCGTAGGCTCGACAAAAATGTAATAAACTGTTATACTTTGAACATGTGTATCTAATGTGCTGGTAAACAAGTATATACATTCTAAAATACTTTTTAATAAAAAAAAAAAAAAATACGAGAGAACTATAAAAAAGTGAAGTTAACAAAAAAAACAAGAAAAATTAAAAGGAACAAAAATTTAAAAAAAAAAGAATAGTAGAAAATACATTCATTTTGTTACATTGAACTAAAAAATATAACAGACAGAATCAAAAGAAATACGATATAGTAACAAATAGACGAAAAAAATCAGAGAAAATTGAAATATCATAAACATGTTCAATACAAGCCGATTCAAAACGGGTCAAGGTTGAACGAACATGAATTTCTATCGATTACACAGGTGACAATCAACGGAGGGTGGCGCGTGTCGATAAAACATTAAATAACTTTATACTTACTAAAGATATGATTATAAAATTTAAAATTATGTACTTTTCGAAAATCTCCTTCTTTATGCAATGTTTTTTGTGCCAATTCTATCATTCCACCAGGTCCTTAGTGCAATATTTTGTTCTTAGTCCACTAAGGAGGCCCTTTGCGATATTTCTATTTGTCCGTATAAATACCGCAAAGGACCTCCTCTGTGCACTAAGAACAACAATTTGCAAATAAGTCTATAACATTTTTGCAATTAAATGCTTGCTTTATTGGCGTAAATGAATGCTGCAGTTTTTGTCTGTTTGTCTTTTTCATTTTTAGCCAGGAGTTGTCAGTTTTTTTTTCGATTAATAAGTTATGTGGCGCAAATTATTTTTTTTCAGCGAAATAGGAGCTCGGCCTTCAAACACCGTGTGTACACGAACAAAACAGTCTTCATCATTTACGCTGTCTAGCCTGAGAATAACGGTTTTGGCAATTTGTGTAGGATTTTAATTTTAGAATGTAATGAACAAGTAAGAAGATTGTTAAAAACCTTAAGTTAATTGGAAAATGAGCTATGCATGATAAAAGGAAATAGTTTGGTGCGTCGATACGAAATTTCAGAGGCATGTGATATTTGTAAAATTTTAAGTCTTTCAATAAAAACCATTTGTAGAACTGTATATTTCGATCCTTCAAATATGTGTAAAATAATTAAAAGTTATATCATTTAGTCTCTTTCATATATACAATTGCAGTATGATTATGTTTATAAATACTGTAGATTTGTATTTGATCATCGATTGCATGCATAACGTCCAGTGACAAATCAACAACTTTTAGAATACAATTGATTGGTTATTTAAGGTAAATGATTTGCGTTAAAATTGGTGATACTTGGCCAGAAGCTTACCTCTAAAATAAAGAAATATAAAAAAAAAGGTAGAGTTATTTTTTAATTCTTTATTTTAATCATACATGGACTTAAGCACTTTTTACAGTCAAAATAACAGTTTTAACACCGACAGCAAGAATCACAAGCGACGCTGGTTCCATATAAGTCTTCCTAAGATTTCCTTATAATACCTGTTCGCATTAATTACTGTAAGTGGGATCGGTCTTCTTCAAACATTGAAGGCGGTATTCGGCGGTATTTTTGCTTAAACGGTCTATCATCCTCTAGTTCTATTTTATGTTGTACAATTGTAGTATGTCCCATATCTGAGTCGCCTTTCGAAAATATATCTGAGTAATCACGGATAAGCTGTTTTCCTTTTTCAAGTTCCTGAGTTGTAAAGTTATCAGCGCTAACCTTAACTTGTTCTAAAAGAGGTGGAGTAAATTCCAAGTTTTCAGATCCAATATTGTTCTCAATAGATACAGGCTGTATTTCGCAAAGTAAAGCATGTGGTTGAATATTTACTGTTCTTGTTGTTACATTGCTAATATCAACTGAGATGTCATGATTCTGATAAAATTTATACTCAATGAGTGACGGTGATAAATCTAAATCAAACGGTATAACGGAATTTTTGTAGTTTGATGTATCATAGCTGATGTATTGCAGTACGGAATTTCTTTATCTATGTAGCCTGGTAAAGTAACATTACTGTTTGGTGGTATAATAATGTTGGTATTTCCAGCAAATTTGACAATAGCTAAACGATGGTTGTTTCAGATAAGTTCCTTTTCTCTAAGTAATATACTTCTGAACGATGAATACCACGGAGTTGTCAATTTAGAAGTTTGTAAAAATCTTTCTCCATATTCGTATCGACATTTTTCCATAATTGATGTTAATACATTCGTTCCTAGTAATAACGGTACCTGGTTGTTATACGGACTATCCGGTATTACAATTAAAATACATGGATGTGGTCCTCCTATATCTTTTAAAATGATGTTTACTTCAATAAAACCATCATACGGTAGCATTGATCCTCCTGCACATTCAATTTTGAGTATAGTATCTAAAAATTGAAGTTCTATGTTGCTCAAATAATTTTGATGAAAAAATCTACTTATAGTTGAAACGGTTAATCCTGTATCCAAAAGGGCCTTAACGTTGATATCTTCTTCTATACTTACCTCTGATTCTGTTGGTGTACCTAAAAGTCCAGGTGGTAGAATATTTTTCAAAGTAAAATTTATGTTTTTCTTTTCGGTTGTTGGGCCTTTGATGTGGAAGTCTGTAATCGGCCTCGCATCTTGCAATGTGGTTCGGCATCTTTCATCTCCTGCATATAATTGGTGTATCCTTGTTGTAATTAGTATTTGGATTAAAGTTCTGATTGTTGTACCTTGGTTGAAATCCTCTATTATAACCTCTATATCCTCTATCATTGCCTCTATATCCTCCTCTATACGGTTGCCTACCTCTAGCATCAGAATATCTCGATGGATTATTGAATCCCGGAGCACCTGTGTATCCCGAAGTATCGGAGTATCCCTGAGCACCTAAGAATCCTTGAGCATCAGAGTTCTCCGGAGCACCTGTATATATCGGAGCACATTTCTCTATCTTTTCTAATCTAGTGTTTATCTGCTGTATAAGCGCTTTCAAATCGGGTTCTGTTTCCTCATCTTCAGTTTTTGTTGATTTCTTACATATGTTTTTAGTGTTGGTTTTCAATGATGGGTTATCCACTATATGTTCTCGTTCAATCTTTCGAAATACCACTCTAAATTCATCAAATGTCTTATATTTCTCCTTTTCATAATGCGCTTTGTCTTTTAATTCAGGTCTTAAACCTTTATACAGCATATCTTGAAGCATTTCGTCAGATTCAGTTTTTTTCACTTTGCCATTTAATAATGCTTGACTCAGTATATCTTCAGGTCGGCAACTCCATGTTGAAACATCTTCCACCTCTTTCTGTTTGGCATTATAAAAGTCGGACATAATAGTTTCTTTCTCATCGATGTTTCCAAATATGCAATCGAACTTTTGTAATATGTCAAATATTGATGCATGTTCTTCTAAATGCATAAGTACCACACCTGCCTCACCTTTGACTGATCGCCTGACGGCCTGAGTAATAGCTTCAATGGAATGTGTTTTCTCATTCAATAGGCATCTGATATCATGTCTCCATAAATCATACCTTGTGTTTTCACCTTTTACTGTCTTATCATTTCCCTGAAAAGTGTTTACTCTAGGTGGATGAACGTAAGGTATTGATGTTTTAGGTGAGGTTCAGTAACATTCGGTTTAATATCCGCTTGCTTTCCTTGTTGTTGTAAATAGCTCTGCATCCATGCAGCAAATTCCTCAGGAGTATTCGCTTTCGGTTCAACATTCATTGCTTCTAATGTTTCTAACAAATACTTATATTTCTCGCCAAGACCGGCCATTTTTTCAATTTAATAATAACGTGATGACTCAGATATATGTTACGGTGTACACAATTGTCTTATACTAAATATATTCAAGTAAAGTATCGCTGACTATTTATCGATGTATCTATAGTTGATATTAGCATGATTAGATGACACACAAATATCTGAAAATTCAATATGGGGCTTGGGCAATATCTATTTTATTCTATATTAAAATACTCAAAATACTAGTATCAAAATATTCTCAAACTAATATCAATGTATACGTATATCTACAGTACCATCATAAATAGTAACTCAAGTAATCTTATCTATCAAAACGAATAAACTAGTCTAAGTCGAATGTAAAATGTCAAACTCAGTACGATAAGTCTCAAATACGTAATATGAAACTAGTCTCAAATCACTAAAATGACAACTAAGAACAAGGATGGGTCAATAGTATGCCAACTAGCAAAGTCTAGATGTGTGAAGTAACACTATAAAATAGTAAAGTCAAATACCAAAGTGTGTAACGGGCACAAGCAAGTATACGTATATGAAGTAGTAAATAAGGGTTCAAACACTCACAGTACCATTCTCGGACAAAACGCAGATTCAAATCATAAAAAAAAATAATGTATACCCTAACTACACTAATAGCAAATAATAATGTGTAGCATAACTCAAATCAATGTCAAATGCTATGATATACCCACTAATATCTAATATTTACAAAGTACACAAGTACACATGTACCCAATACCAAGTATTTATAAAGGTCAAGGTTATACTAATGACCTACTTTCAAATTCACAAAAATGTTATACCAAATATTCTATACACACACTTGATCAAGTAAATAAACCTTATAAATGTAACCGGTTTAATGTAAATGTGCACAATAATCAACTGCGATGTATGTACATTCAACATAAATGTAAACTGTACATCCAGTGAAGTTGAAGTACAATATCAACACAAAATTTACTAAGTACAAACACACACAAATAAACAAAGAATCAACACATAAATAGTTTACTGCTAGCTAGCTTATCTAAGAAATTCAAATGTTTATGCAAGATGACTATGTCAAAATGAAATAAACACAAGAAATTCAAAATATAATGACACAATACCCAATGTTCAATAACAAAAACCAAAATAAATTTTCTGGATTTGTTTTCTAAGTTTTTCAACACGTGTATTTCATAAATAAATCATATAATTTTTATGACAATACTTCAATTCATTACCCAAGTGTATATTCTCACCATATCAATAAGCTTCGTTACATTATAATCACTGTATCAGGTTAAAATATTTGAAAATTTAATCTTCATTCACAAAAACCACACTGTTTTTCTGTTGATGTCAATATCTAGGATGTTCCGGTTTCACAATTCACACATGCGCAAGTATCACCACCGAGGGGGTCTGTATGGGTACACTAGCTCAAACGATTACCATTACCAAAATCACGCTGGGCGCCATTTGTAACATGTAAATTTACGTGTTGTAGACTCATCAAGTTGGGCGTAAATAACATCTGAGTAAGGTTCTATTGGTTTATTATAGTAATCTCAAATAAACACCCTGTAACATATAAAACACACAATAAGACACAATACATACGTTCAAAGAACGATAACTCTAATTATAATCTCCATATGAATAAAATAAAATATAAATTATCCAAGTAGTTAACTTTAGTTCGAAATATACCATATTTAATAAAGTATGTTTTACTACAAATCATAAGCATCTATACCAAAATCTATTTCCGGTAACTGTTCAATATGCAATTCTACAGATATCAATAACACTTTGTGTCAACGATCATTATCTAAAGTTATCAATTCTGATACACTATTCTATTCGGAGATATTCGTAAACTGAAAATAACACATTACAAACACAGACAAGACACACATTAATTAAAACACATAAGTACAAATAGACAACACGTAAATAAATAAACATGTAAACACAGAACACAGCTTACTGTGTATATAATACAAGGGCTGAGCAGTGCTCCTCTATAAAGTTACTGTATACTCTTATACTTCACATACTGGAATCTGGGTATAAAGAAATATGACTTCATAAGTCTTAATGTCAAAACTAGTAAATAATATAGTTAAACTCAATGCAAGACAATATTCTATGCTGAAATCTAATAACAGCCAAATATGAAAAATAATATAATAACTGTAATATTCTTTCTGTCTTGCAAATACCAACTTAAAGTAAAAATATGAACTCTTTCATACTCATGGGAATCAAAGTGGACTTTCATACACATTTTCATAACACATTCATATCTTTTATATCAAGATAAAAATATAGAAATACATGCATCAAATACTAATGTAAAGCATATAACTGACCTGAATATAAAGAATGGTTTCCAGAATATGAAGAATAAATATCTATAAATCACAATAAAGTGTCAGTGTTCTATATCTCTGTGTAGAATTTGAAAAGAGTGCCTCAATATCAAAGGAGTTCACAGAGTAACCAATCAGAATAAAGAAATAGAAAACCCAGGATGTAAATACCCAAGTGAATAGAAAATCAAAGTACTGTCATACTGTATACTCTGTCAGAGTCAGTCAACAAGTCAATGCATGAACAAATATATACAAATACTATTTATTAACATAAATGATAAAATCAAGCTATACTACAAACTCCCCTGCATTGGGAAGTGACGTCCCCGTCATTGCAGTCAAGTTTTAACAAAATACAATATATAATACACATGTGAAGTTCTGACTCTCAGTACTTCTTACTAACAATTCATGAAATTAACTATCAAACATATAAGATAAAACACAGATCTCAATCACTGAATGGAATAATCTCACTGAATTTCTAAGATGTAGCTACAGTTTAAACTGTATAATGTGGTTTGCATTATTTGGAAACTTGTCCACTGTGCCTTCACCAATACAATTACATTCCCTATAAGTTGCACTGAATTAAAGCCAGTTTGAACATTGGGTTATTTGTTAAAGCTTGAGTGAAACATGAAATAAAGATGTTTACCAGTAGGTATCATTACCTGTGGTAAAATGTCAATTTATAGGACGACAAGAACAAATAAACAAAATGTCCTTTGAATAAAGTTTGTACATGTATAAAATCTACCAATGTCATTACACACTCATCTATGTGACACTTAATTCCGGTCATTTTTTAACTTCGGGTCATTTGTTAAAGCTTGAGCAGACGGCTAATAAAGCTGTGATTTAGTATAACCTGAATCTATAGGACGATGAGAACGAACAAACAACACTTCTTCAAAATTGCGTTGGAATAAATCCACCACTGCCATTACACACTACCACTACGTCGGGTTGAATTAAAGCTAATGTTGTCACTTTGGGTCATTTGTTAAAGCTTACGTGAGACGTGAAATAATACTGTTGTTGTTTGTTTTTTTTTAGTATCAATACCTTAGACAAAATGTGGTTAATACTAATAGGACGACAAGAACGAACAAACATCTTCTGAATAAAGTTTGTATAAAATCCACCAAATCCATTACATACAGGTATTCTAGCTACGTAACGCTTAATTAAAGACAGGTTGTAACTTCGGTTCATTTGAAAAAGCTTGAGTGAGACGTGAAATAAAGCTGTGAATTAGCATCAAAACATTAGGTATGATGTCAATATGTAGGAAGACGAGAACGAACATACAAATCAACTTCCGTATAAAGCTTGCATAAATTCCGACTTACGACAATAGAGGTGAAAGTTCAAAAACTCAAGTGCTTAAAATTTTCATCGTATATCATTGTTGTGGAATACACTATTTCATTATGTTCCTATAATGAGTTCGATATGTTTACATATTCGAAATTTATGTTCGTGAACATACAAATGTAGAATATCCAAGATGGCGATCGAGAGAGCTGCATCATTACTACATTCATCAGTTGAAAAAGAATATAATATGCACGAACGAAAGCAGATAAAAATTTACCTAGTTCCTTCCTTACACATATTCAATCATTGTATCGGTATAAAAGTCCGAATTGCTAATAAAAAGTTTATAAATCCCAAAATAAAAATCTCGTTTACAAAATTATCGATCTGTAGATAAGCAAGAAAGTGTAATAAGATACATAGTGAAGAAACTAACCAATGGTTATCCAGTCAAAAGATCGTAATGCAGGGGTTCCCCAGAGGGTTATGAAAATAATCAAAATTAAGAAAGAAATTAATGGTTTTCGTCGTTGGCATAAAATAAGTTATTAAAATAACTTGCCTATAATATTTCGATCGGTTTAATTGAGGTCTGGAGCTGGCATGTCTGTTACTGCTACTAGTTCTTTGTTAAATTATGAATCATAGTCATTTTGATTAGTTTCTTTTTTTTTTACCTATTCTGACATCGGCCACGGACTTCTTTTCAACTGAGTTTTACTGTGCGTATTGTTGTGTGTTTGTTTATTCTACATTGGCTAGCTATAGTGGTATAGGGGGAGAGTTGGTATCTCATAAAACATGTTAAACCCCGCCGCATTTTTGCGCCTGTCCCAAGTCAAGAGACTCTGGCCTTTGTTGGTTTTGTATGTTTTTTTTATTTTAATTTATTGTGACGTCCATTTTCTCTGAACTAGTATACATTTTTATGGCCCCACAACAAAGTTGTCGGTGCCATATAGTTTTACCCTTGTCCGTCATTCTGTCATTCTGTCATTCTGTCATTCCGTCATTCTGTCATTCCGTCATTTTGTCATTCCGTCATTCCGTAACAAACCATTATACGGACTTTTTCTAAACGCCTTCAGATATTGGGCTGATTTTTGGTATGTGAGTTAACCATGATGAGTTACAGATCAAGTTTAAGTTTCGTTCCGCTCCGCTAATTTTTGCCGAAATAACGGGCTTTTGACTTTGATAAATTGTTAAAAATCACAGTTATACGGACTTTTTTTCTAAACGCCTTTAGACATTAGGCTGATTTTCGGTATGTAAGTTAACCATGATGAGTTACAGATCAAGTTTAAGTTTAGTTCCGCTCCACTGTTTTTTGACGAACTTAAAGCCTTTGGACTTTGATAAATTGTTGAAAATCACAGTTATACGCACTTTTTTTCTAAACGCCTTTAGATATTTGGCTGAAATTAAGGGCTTTAGACTTTGATAAATTGTTTAAAATCACAGTTATACGGACTTCTTTTCTAAACGCCTTTAGATATTGGGCTGATTTTTGGTATGTAAGTTAACCATGATGAGTTACAGATCAAGTTTAAGTTTATTTCCGTTCCGCTGATTTTTGCCGGACTTTGATAAATTGTTGAAAATCACAGTTATACGGACTTTTTTTTAAACGCCTTTAGATATTGATGTGATCTTTGGTATGTGAGTTAACAACGATGAGTTATAGATCAAATTTAAGTTCAGTTCCGCTCCGCTGATTTTTGCTGAAATTGAGGGCTTTGGACTTTGATAAATTGTTGAAAATCACAGTTATACAGGGACTTTTTTTCTAAACGCCTTTAGATATTGGGCTGATTTTTGGTATGTTAGTTAACCATGATGAGTTACAGATCAAGTTTTAGTTTAGTTCTGCTCCGCTGATTTTTGCCGAAATTGAGGGTTTAAGACTTTGAAAATTATTGAAAATCACTGTTATACGGACTTTTTTTCTATACGCCTTCAGATTTTGCGCTGATTTTTGATATGTGAGACTACCATGATGAGTTACAGATCAAGTTTATGTTTCGTTCCGCTATGCTGATTTTCATGTCGTTTCAACACATCTTGTTAGATCTGCAGAACATCCATTTCCTGTTTGCTGATAGTTTGAAATTTAATTACTCATTGATCAAGGAAATTTTTCTTCAAACTAGTATTGGTCTTGAGAGCTTGATACTATCCATGCATGTTTGTGTCCACATTGTGTTGAAAATTTTTTGCCGAAATCAAGGGCTTTAGATTTTGTTGTTGAAAATCACAGATATACGGACTTTTTTTCTAAACGCCATTAGATATTGGGCTGAAATTAAGGGCTTTGAACTTTGATAAATTGTTGATAATTTTTTGCCGAAATTAGAGGCTTTTGACATTGATAAATTGTTAAAAATCACAGTCATACGGACTTTTTTTCTAAACGCCTTCAGATATTGGGCTGATTTTTGATATGTAAGTTAACCATGATGAGTTACAGATCAAGGATAAGTTTCGTTCTGCTTCGCTAATTTTTGCCGAAATTACGGGCTTTGGACTTTGATAAATTGTTGGAAATTACAGTTATATGGACTTTTTTTCGAAACGCCTTTAGACATTAGGCTGATTTTCGGTATGTAAGTTAACCATGATGAGTTACAGATCAAGTTTAAGTTTAGTTCCGCTCCACTGCTTCTTGCCGAAATTAAAGGATTTGGACTTTGATAAATTGTTGAAAATCACAGTTATACGGACTTTTTTTCTAAACGCCTTTAGATACTGGGCTGTTTTTTGGTATGTAAGTTAACCATGATGAGTTACAGATCAAGTTTAAGT